TACTCATATACATAAAATAAAAACAATAAATTAAATTAAATTAAATTAAATTAAAAATCAGGAAAACTATGAGCCCAAATAAACCTTTTTACTTAAAAGTTGATACCGGTATTTGTTACAGTAACACAGAGAAGGGAAGGAAGAAAATCCCCGTTTTAGAATGACCACTCCAACTTCTATCCAGATTGCCATAAATTTCAGGTCAACCTGATATACATAGTGATTTCAGGCCAGCCTAGACTACAGAGCTCCTGCCTCAGAAAGAAAAACAAGAGGCCAGGTATGGCAGCGCAGACCTTTAATCCCAGCTTTCAGAAGGCAGAGGTAGGCAGAGCTCTGTGAAATTGAGTCCAGCCTGCTCTACATAGTGAGTTCCAGGCCAGGTGGGCTACAAGGAGACCCTGCCTCAAAAAAACAAACAAAAAAGAAAGGAAAAAAGGAAGAAAGGAAGGGAGGAAAGAAGGGAGGGAGGGAAGAAAAAGACTGGGTGAAATGGACAGATCCTCAACCAAGGCAGGGGCTGTCAGATGGGGACATATTTTAAAAGCAGGGCCCAGGGTATAAAGTAACTAATAACATAGGCTTTCAAGTCAGACAGACCTAAGTGTGACTCCCAGCTCTGCCCTTTACTCTGTGTGACCAAGATTCAGTTTCCTCAACCAGGAAATCAGAACCATAATGAATTTCCCACAGCTGCTCAAAAGATGAAATGGCACAACATGAGCACATGAACAGCCCAAGACAGAGCACACAGGGAACAGGCAGCGGAGGGGAGCTATATCATCCTTTGCACTGAAGTGGTGAACAGGCTTGAATAACAAAGTGCAGGTACTATAGGAGATGATCAAAGGTACACTCTGACCTGTTGCTCCTAACAGGAAGCAGAGACAGGAGTGGACAGGTTGAATAGGAAGAAGATGAAGTGTCCACTGTTGAAAGACAATCCTCCAGGAATCTGGCACTCTCACACATCTTGTTATACAGGCCAAGAATCCAAGACCCTGGCCTCTTTTAACCTCTTCTCAGTGCCATGTTATTGCAAGTACTGTCTCCCTCTAGGACAAAGAGCAGGCTTGCTTATTGCTTCCTATATAACCAGTAGATTCACCAAGTTCCATGTTTCTCAGCTATGACGCAAACCAAATGCATGTGGAGCATCCATCTGGACCCATCATGCTGCCCCTGCAGGAGTTGGAGGGCAAGGAGAAGTGGTGCAAATATAATGATGCTCATGCTACTTGCTCTGCCTGGTATCATGTGTCTTCTGTCAATAACCATGAATCAATGGCAAGTTAACTTATTCATAAACTGGAGTTAGAGTCATCAGTGTGTACATAGGGAAATCCATGAGCATAAATGACAATGCCTACTAAGAAGACTGAGACCTTAGATACCAACAAATAAAAAATGAGGGTAAGAAAGGGAGCTCAAAGGAACTCGAGGAGGAAACTAAGGGTATAGCTCAGTAATAGAACATTTGCCTAGCATGTACAAGACTCAAGGCTCTGGGTTCCATCCCCAGCACTGCAAACACAAACCCACAAATAGCTCCCCACAAGCTAAGACAGTAGAGTTTCTGTTTTAAACTGTCTTGTTCTATGGGCAAAGCTGTCCTGGAACTCACTATATAGTCTCAGACTTGCCATTTTCCTGCCTTGCCCGAGTGCTAGAATTACAGGGGTGCAACACCATGGCTGGATAAAGAGGAGTTTCAATAAAAATAGAGTAGGATCAGATGCTGCTTAAAAATTAAGCAAGATGAGGACTGAAAGCGGCCACTGAATTCAGCAACTAGGTCACTGGCAGGACAACATCTCAATGATGTGGTATGGCCAGAGGCCAAAATGTAGTGGAGGAAGAATGAATGGAGGTAAAGAAGTTGTAGCAATAAATATGAGGCATTTCTGAACAGCTCGGCTGAAAAGGAAGGAGAGAGATGGGGTACTGATTACTAGCACAGGTGGGGTCAAACTGAATTTGTGTTTTTTTAAAAAGTGGAAGAAATCTGAATGGTCATTACTAAGGAAAGGGAAACGTTGGGAGAAAGATTAATAAAAGGAGGAGGATGGATTCAGAGGAAGAGGAGCGGCCTCAGATTCCAGGTAAGACAGCATTTTCCCCAACCATACACCCTCCAGCAAGTCAACCTGCTAGCTCAGGTTGTGGGGTCTGTCTCCAGGTGAATGGTGCCCACTTGCAAGGGGCTTAGTAAGCAAGTTTCCTTTGTGGTCACTTTCCTGGGTGGTCATGCAGGCCAGAGATGAGACACAGGAGTATTTCACAAACTGGGTTCTCAAGACACCAGTTGGTGTATGCTGTACACAAAAGCACAAGTGGTTTGGAATGCTGCTCTAAGCTTTGTGAAGCCAGCTTGTAGTTCTCAGTGAACATTTGGAAGTGAGATACCTAAAAGGAAGAGCCCTTGCTGGGGCAGACCCAAGGCTTCATCTTCAAATTGTTCAAGGTTGACAACAGAGCCTATGGGAAGAGTCTATGAACACAAAGTAGGAAAAGAAGTTCTCATGTCTATAGCATCTCTGCTTAGAGTTTATTGACAAGATTCTCTCCCATCTATACATGTCCTTGTAGAATCGGTTTTAGCAAAGAGTTTTTCCAAGTCAGTACAGCAAGAACTCTGGATGTTTGATCAACACCCAATATCTGATCACCCTCAATATTTGATCAGGTTCTTTATCCTCTACCAGCCTGCAGGGGCTATCAAATTACCCTAACCTGTCATCAGCAATTCTGTTAGGTCAGCTTAGCCAAAATCCCCTATACCAGTCCTTCCTCTTAATCATTTTCCATTCACCAATCCCCACCCAACTCCTTAGCTATAAATTCACAGTTCAACTCAATCTCTCCCCACCATCTGAATGCCAAACCCCATTGAGGATAGTCCTGAATAAAATCTGTCCTCCAGCAGTTCAATAAGTATCATTAAATAATTTTTCCATAAAAGTCTCCACTGGGCTGAGAGATAGCTCAGTTGGTAAAGTGCCTTAAAGTTTAAAAAAAGAGAGAAGGAAGAAGAAGGAAGGAAGGGAGGGAGAGAGGGAGGGAAGGAGGGAGGAAGAGGGAGGGAAGGAGGGAAAGAAAGGAGGGAGGAAGGGGAAAGGAAAGAAAAAGAAGGAAGGAAGGAGAGAAAGGAAGGAAGGAGAGAAAGGAAGGAAGGAAAAAGAAAGAAAGAAAGAAAGAAAGAAAGAGAAAGAAAGAAAGAAAGAAAGAAAGAAAGAAAGAAAGAAAGAAAGAAAGAAAGAAAGAAAGAAAGAAAAACAGCTTTAATCCCAGCACTGGGGAGGCAGAGGCAAGTGGATCTCTGTGAATTCAAGGCCAGCTTGGTCTACATACTGAGATTCAGACCCAGCCAGGGATATGTAATGAGACCCTGTCTCAAAAACAGATAAGCCAGGCAAGGTGGCACATGCCTTTAGTCCCAGTACTTGGGAAACAGAGGCAGGTGGATCTCTGAGTTCAAGGCTAGCCTCTTCTACACAGTGAGCTCCAGGTCAGCTGGGGCTACAGGAAGACCCTGTCTCAAAAAGACAGAAAAAAAAAAGCCAAGGGTGGGATTCACTTTTAATCCTAGAGCTGGAGAGGTAGAAGACAGGTGGATCCCTGGGGCTCACTGGCCAGCCTAGCCTCCTTGGGGAGTTCCAGGCAGTAAGAAAAAAAAAAAAAAAAAAAAAAAAAAAAAGATGGGACCAGAGAGATGGCTCAGGATTAAAAGCACTGGCTGCTTTTGCAGAGGATCCAGGTTTCCCAGCACCCACATGGCAGCTAAACTCCAGATCCAGGGTATCTGATGCCTTCTTCTGGTCTCCAGGGGCATTGCATGACATGGGTGTGTGTACATACATACAGGCAAAACACTCATATGCACTTTTTAAAAAGTAGATGGCACCTGAGGAACAACACCCAAGGTTGTCCTTTGGCCTATACACATGCCACACACATAGTCTTCACCTACTTTACCCTCCCAACTCTTGATCTAATTACTACCCCAACCTGCCAGGAGAAGCCAGGAATCTAGAAGCTGAAGGCTTGCCTGATAGTTCATGACTCAGTGAGTGACAGGGTCCAGCTCTCTAGGATTTGGGATCCAGTTCTCTTGCATCTACATTCCACGTGTTCTTGGGCCCTAAAGCAGTACCCAGTGCCTGGAATAGAAGAGAACTCACGAAATTCCTGCCTCTCTTACCGGTGAGAACAGGACAGTCACCAAGGGTGTCTGTGACAGGGAAAGTCCCAAAGTGCCTTAGCTTTCTGTCTGGCAGAACCCCCAGTATGCTTTCTAAGCACTATGGGACCCCAGGGGTCTAGCAGAAGAACCCAGGGAATAAGCAGCAAGAATGTGCAACATGCAGCCACCTCTCTGCCTTGTACTACCAGGAGGACCTCAAGGACGGCTCTCAGGAGTGTAAGAGAGTAAGAATGCAGGAGTTCACGCACACACAACTCAGAGTTTCCAGGTCTGGGTCCATGAACTAACCACCATGACCACCCACACTCCACAAACCACCGGAGCTCCAAGGAGCTATGCATCACTAGAAACGCACATCTCCAGGCCCGAGAGTCTGAAACCTGGCCTGTGATGATGCACAATTTGAGGAACAGATGCTCAGCGGAGCCCACCCTGAGAAAACCTGGGGCTAGGAGAGGCCCCAAGTTCCACAGCTTCCCCATCTTGCTCCGCACACCGACCTCCGCTCACCATCTCCTGCCGGCCTCACCCTCACGCGCGGTCGGAAAGCATCTGGGGAACCTGGTAGTGACCCAGTGCGGAGGCCAGGCTTGCCCGCCTTGGCCAGCGCACCAAAAAGGGAGCAGTGAGGTGGCCGGTAGGGGGCGCAGCGCCAGAGACAAGACACGGCGAGGCCAACCCCCGGCCCGAAGCTGGACCAAGGAAGAAAAGGGCGGAGGGTAGGGCGGCGGGGCGGGGCGTGAAGGGGCGGGGCGTGAAGGGGGCGGGGCCAGCGGTCCGGCGGCGAGCGCCGGGGGAGCGCGCCCGGGGAGCGCGGAGGGAGGAGCGAGGGGAGCGCGGGTCATCGCCGCCCCCGCCCCGCGCCCGCGCCCGCGCCGCCTGCGCGCAACAGTTCCTCTAAAGTTGCAGCTCAGGAGGCGAGCGGCGGGTGGGGGACGTGGCCTCGCGGCCGGCGCGCACAGCCCCAGAGGGCGGCGGCATGGGCACTCGGCAGACCAAGGGCAGCCTGGCCGAGAGATCCAGCCCCGGCGCCGCACCCGGCCCCCGCCGCGAACGACCCGACTTCTGGGCGTCGCTGCTGCTGCGCGCCGGGGACAAGGCAGGGCGCGCGGGCGCAGGGCTACCCCCCTACCACCGGCGTGTCGGAATGGTCCAGGAGCTGCTGCGGATGATGCGCCAGGGCCGGCGGGAGGAGGCGGGGACGCTGCTGCAGCACCTGCGCCAGGTGAGCGCGGGGAGGGGGTGCGGGAAGAGGGCGCCCCGCCCCTGCCAAGGGAAGCCCGGAGCGCTGGGAGGCACCGCCCCAGGGACCCCTTCCACGGGGATGGAGTGGTCTGACAGCAGGTGCCTCAGCGCTCCTCTGAATTTGGGGCCTCGGGCTAGGGCGGAGGAAGGCTGACCCGATGGGGCTGGTGAAGGGGACCTGTTAGACTATTGTGCTTGCTTCTCTCCTCCACAAGTCTCCAGAGATGGTTGGTGGGAGAGGGAACCAAAGTGCCGTCTGGTCTTGGCCCTGGTTTTTTTCTTCTTCTCTGCCCACTGGCCGGCACCCTCTTCCGGGGGTCCCCAAAGGATGCGCAGTTATCTGCTAAACGCAGCTTCTTGAGGCATGGCCCTAGGACTGATGAGATTTCAGCCCCCAGGTCGCTTGCCACTTGGAGATATTCTGTATTGTGGCTCAGGGAGATTTTTCACCTCCCCTAACTTTGTCAGGTCCAGGCCATGAGCCCCTACCAAAACCTTGGCGAGAACGGAGCTAGGTTTGGTTTCTTGGTCAACAGGAAGGCAGGCTGCCGGCACTCTGCCCTCAGCGTGGTCCCGACCCACTGGTTAGGGGCAGACTGCAGATCTGGCCAGTTCCCTCTGGGGACTGATGCTGTTACCCACCTCTCTGGCTTGCTCTCCTCTCTGGTTTTCTTTGGGGGTAGCTTGTGCCACAGGTCTCATTGAGTTGGAGAGACATATGGAGGGTGCATAGCTGCCCTGCAAAACGTCCATCAGGTTGTCTTGGCCTGGCTTTGTGGCACTCACACAGGCCCTATATTCTTCAAGGACCCCAGTAGAGATGCAGTCTACCGCAGTTGGGGAAGGGAGAACCTTAGCTGACCTTTGTTTTCTCATTACTGATAGGAACAACTTCCTGGGAGGAGCTCCCCGAATCTAATTGGATCCACATCCCCCTAGATTCTGTAGCGTCCCCTCCCCAACACCCTAACTGTGATGGGATGTTTCTCTGGAGCTTGTTTCTAAGGTGTGCACTGCAAAGAGAGATGCAGAGGCTTGGGGACTTGGGAAGATGCTGGGTTTCCATCCTTGCCTCTGCTTTTCCAAACAACATTCAGAATAATGCCCCAGAGGCTGCTGGTTCCCCAGGTGCCTTCCCTGAATTGAATCATCAAAGAAGATGGCATTCTACACCACATAACTTTAGTGCTGTATGTTTCTCTGTCATTTGAAAATTGGAAGCCAACTTTGTATGGCCTCCATGGTAACTCCTTTGCTTTCAAACAGAAAATGAAATTTCCAAACCATTGTAACCCATTTGCACACTAGACAGTTAAAATGGTTTTGCTGATAATCAGCATGCTGTTTCTCCAGTTCTGGGAGGGCTCCTTTGGAGACTATCAAAGTGTGGAAGAAATTGATAAGCCCTTCTTGGGGAGCCAGTTAGAAAATGAAGTCAGCTTTGGCAAGCATGTATTGGAAGCCCACCAGAGGAGCCTGCAGGTCTCCAGGAGGAAGCACATGCTTTGGCATTTAGTATGGTTGCACATCACATTTTAGGGAACCTGAGTCTCTCCCTGCAGGATCTTCTGCTTGTATGTCTTTGGATCTCTAGCACCTCTTCAGCCACAGGCCTAAGAGGGCTGATGGAAAGAGACGGGCTTAATCAGACTTCCCCCTTTTCTGGGGCTCTTTTGCCTTCTGGCTGATGGATGAGGACTGTGGACATGGAGAACTGCCCTGTGTTGCCTGGAATGTGGGGATCAGGGCCTTCCAGGAAATGGTCATTGGCCTTAGGCATGTGGGAGAGGAGCCCAAGGATATCCAAGAGCCCATCACAAATGAAAGGGGTGTTTTCTAGGACCCTGAAACCAACTAGAGGAATAGCCAGATTTGTGCAGCACCTTGAAGTGGCTCTCTTTTCCAAATCCTGTTTTCCCAGCCCCCCCCCACCCCCGGCCCACCCCAGTAACCAGGACAGTTTTCACCATCCCTATTCACACAGTACTTTGTATATTTGATAATGCATTTGGCGCAAGACTTGATTGTGTTTGTTTTTTGTTTTGTTTTGTTTAGTTTCAAGACAAGGTCTTATATATCCCAGATTGGCCTCTAACTCGCTATGTAGCTGAGGATAACCTTGAACTTCTGATCCTCCAGCCTCTACCCCCTAAGAGCTGGGATTACAGGCATAGAATACACCCAGTTTATTCAGTACTGGGGATCAAACCCAGGGTCTTGTGCCTGTTGGCAAACACTCTTCCAACTGAGCTACACTTGACCCCTGACACTGGATTTCTATGTGCTCAGAGCATGTACAAGGCTAGAGGGAACTCTGGGTCTTTAACTCCTGTGATCCTCAATGAATTGAGTCCTTGATCTTTCTGAGGCCCTGAAAGAGCCACACATACTCTCCTAAGACAAATGCACCCATACACAATCTTACAAAGAATTTCAGAGAATGCACAGAGCCCTTGAAGCCTACCTACAGAGCCTGAGTTTAGAATCACTGCTCCTGTCTGATACTTCCATTGTCCCTGCTATGTGGTTTGCTCCAGGTGATAGATATAGAAACAGTCCAGAACCATGTGTGGCAATTCAAATGCACTGTAGGTGCCAATTGTAAGGTTTGGGGAGTATTTTCTTGCTTGGAGACTCTCCAGCTTATCACTCATTAGAGACAGATCATGAGGCCTCAGGAACAGTTCAAGGGGTGTAGGCAGGATGCCAGGCAGTTGCCTTGAAGGATCACAGAGCCATCCTCTTCCCTTTGGGAACAGTGTGAACTGAGAAGGGCCTGAGGCCAAGGATCAAGTCTGAGTGGCTTGCCTTTGATCCTTGCTCTGCTGTGACCTTGGGCTCAGAGATTACCTTTGTGAGTTGTGTTTCCTCATTTCCCAAAGAGGGATCCTGGGTACTGAACAGAGCAAATGCTATAAAGTGTGTGAAATCGTGTTGGCACTGCCAATCAAGATATACCTTACAGCAACCATAAGAATCAGAAGAAACTGGCCTACTTTGGGTAAAGCTGAGCTAGGGGCATGATCATGTGACTTTTCTCTTGGGGCCTAGACCAGAGTTCTTGGTTCAGAAGCAGTCTGGAGTAGGTGCTAATGAGGATGAAAGAAGGCAGCTTTGGATAGAAGAGGCTATTCCTCCACCCCTATTCATCATACCCCTCCCCTAGCCCTTCAGCTTCCCCATACATCTTAAGATTTGGGGCTCAGACTTGCCATCTTTTTTTTTTTTTTGGTCTTTTTTGAAACCAGGTCTCCCTGGAGCCCCAGCTGTCCTGGAACTCACTATGTAGACCAGGCTGGCCTTGAACTCATAGAGATCCCTGGCCTCTGCCTCCTGAGTGCTGGGTGGGATTAAAGGCGTGCGCCCGGCTATATGACTTGCCATCTTTAAGGAGTCCTGGGGAAAAGTGGGCTGACAAGGAAAGAGTTAAGTGCTGGGCTACGCGGAAGGTGCATTGTCATCTCTCCAACCCAGCAATTTCTTTTCAGTACCAAAAATTCCAGACTGGGTTGTTGGCCTACTTCATGGAACAGCAGAGTAAGTGGTCTGTTTCCCTGGGATACACCCAGCTGAGGTGGCCCATCTCTTCATGTTCACTGGCATCCCTGCTGTGTTAGTCAGCTGTTACTGTGACAAAGTACCTGAGATAATCAACCTTTCTTTGATGATTTGGGTCTGTAGTGGGATAATAGTACATCATGGCAGGGAGTATGTGACTGAGAAAGCTGCTCACTTCTTGGTCGTTAGGAAACAGAAAAATGAAGAGGGCAGGGTTCCACTGTTACCTTTAAGGACATACCCACAGTGACTCTAAGACCTCCCACTAGGCCCAGATTCTTAAAGATTTCACCACCTCCCAAAAGCACCAAAAACTAGGGTCATTTCAGCTCATGGACTTATCAAATCCTGGCACCTACTTCCTTATAGAGTCCCATTGGACTGCTTTATTGCCAGTGTAGCACACTGCTAATAGAGCTGTTCTGTTTGCCTGACTGGCCTTGCCTCGGTGTGGCTTGTGCCTTAATTCATGGTTCTGTGTGCTGTTCATGATGGTACCTCCTTGTTTCTACCACGTGCCCTTTACCTTCACCAGGCCACCTTCTCTAGCACATCTGCCCAGGTTCTGACATCTAGTTAGCATACAGGTCCCACCATGGTGCAAGGCATTTAATCATCCATAGTTTTTTTCCTTGATGACCTTTTGTTTGACAGACAAGGTCGTATGCTTCCTGAGGGTGGGGAGCCACCACCACCAGTGTCTGGGGTGTAGTGTTGAAATCTCACAGGCTTGTGATGTTCCTCGGTAAGTCTTTGTGCTCTGGAGGTATGTGTACAGACTGTCATCATGATGTGTCCTCAGAATGCACTTTGATGCCCTGCTTCAGCCTGCATCTCATTTACCAAGCTGTCAGCACGGCCATGAGATCCTGTACATTTGCTTTCTGAATGGTTGGATTTCTGGGCATAATATCTGCGAGTTTGACTTTGCCTGGCACCCTGCCAGACTGAGGTGTTCTTAGAGAGAGGAGTGGCATGGTGCCCAGCCTCCATGGCACCACAGAATCCCATCGGGCAGGTGTAGTCTGGGGCCTCTGCTGAGCTGGCAGGAGGGGAGCAGAGACTGATGGAAGAGCCAGGCCTCCCCGATTCTGGTCAGCTTCTGCAGGATCGCATATGTCCCTCCACAAAGAATCCTTTTTTGAAATCCACCAGTCTGTACAGGATGCATGCAGGTGTTTCCAGTGATAAAGATACAGAGGCTTCTGATGTCAGGACCTGCTTTGTTGCTTTCCATGGCTGCCAGGGACACCAGCCAGGGACACAGCAACCTCTGTAGTGACCAAGCTAGCCACAGGGCTTATAGCTGGACCAGCTCCCTGGCTTCATGGTCTGGTGGGGCAGGGGAGGGGACCCACTTTTTGGAATAAATGCCACCTTCTCAGAAATTGCCAGAAGCTGTTTATCTCTTTCTTCTGAGCT